TTCTGGTCTTACTAAAAATAGGAAACATCCCGTTAAACTAAAATCAGATGTATTAACTTCAGCCTGCAAGGTGCATATTTCAATTTCCCTTGCTTTGTCATAAAATGGATTAGCTCCTTGAAATATGTCAGTTGAACTTGAAATTAAATATTTGCTCTACATATAGCTAAGTACCTGAACTCATAAATGATAACTAAAGTCTGTGTCTGCACAGTATTTCCTTTAAGATCAGGCTTCACCACATGCCACATACCATGAGGCCACTTGCTTCCGCAGAGTATTGATTTTCCCACATTAATAAACTTTAAAAGATTACATGGTCCAAGTAGTCATTTTCAAGAAGGTGCTGGGGAAAATCCTAAATTTACTCAGTTATTCTTTAGTCAAAACAGCCAAATATGGATTATACTGAAGACCTCTTAAATAAGGCTTTTTACCTCTTTGGGGGCAAAAATAGAAAGTGAAAATATCAAACTGCTGAAACATATGTCGTTACTCGACATAAAAATATGCCTAAAAGATAACGTTTCTTGCTGGGATAAGATACACCTGGCCTCAAGGTTATATGCTTCGGTCATAGGAGAGAGATGGCTATTCCTTAAGTAAACATTTAAGTGACTACCAGGTGCTTGGTTCCATGCTAGAGAAGAAATACTAAAACAGATGAGTCACTGACCTTAAAAAACCCTGAAGTCCAGCAAGGTGTAACATGTGTAAAAAGAATACAATACAATGATACAAATTACAGTAAAAATAAAAGTAAAAAGGAAAAGCTGACAGTTTAAAAAGTATTAGATTTGGCCAGGCACGGTGGCTCATGCCTGTAATCCCAGCACTTTGGGAGGCCAAGGCAGGTGAATCACTTGAAGTCAGGAGTTCAAGTCCAGCCTGGCCAACATGGCAAAACCCTGTCTCTACGAGAAATACAAAAATAAGCTGGGTGGGATGGCGTGTGCCTGTAGTCCCAGCTACTCGGGAGGCTGAGGCACGAAAATCATTTGAACCTAGGAGGCAAAGGTTGCAATGAGCCGAGATTGTGCCACTGCACTCCAGCCTGGGCGACAGAGCAAGACCCTGTATCTCTCTCTCTCTCTCACACACACAAGTCTTAGACTTGAAAAACAAGTATTTTCCAGTTGAACAAAGGAAAGACATTATAAACTATGGAAAAAAAAAAAAAAAAAAACAACCACGTGTAAACACATTAAGGGTTAAGTACTGTGAATGCCAAATAGCTCAGTATTGCTCAAGGACAAAGTTCAAGTGAGACGTGACAAGAGAAAAGGTGAGAAAGTCTAGATTATGAAGAGTTTTCAAATTCCTGCAGGTTTACTTTATCCTATAAGGGAATGCTCCTAAGCAAAATAATTATCGTTCTGTTTATTAAGCAGTTAGGTCCAGAAAACTTAATCAGCATTTATGTCCTAACAATGTTTTAAAATAAAACACAAACTGAAAGAATATTTTTATTATTTTTACTCTTAACCAGTTACTAATTGGGTATCTGTGCCTATTGGGCACCTTACTACTACTCAAACCTTGGAATCAGACTGAACATCGTTATCTTCATTTCCTATTCTATGATTTTCATGTGATACTTGCTTACCTCCTCAAATTCCAAACCCAGCTCCACAAAGATATTGTGTCCAGAATTGGTGGGTTCTTGGTCTCACTGACTTCAAGAATGAAGCCATGGACCCTCGCGGTGAGTGTTATAGTTCTTAAAGACGGTGTGTCCGGAGTTTGTTCCTTCAGACGTTCAGCTGTGTCTGGAGCTTCTTCCTTCTGGTGGGTTCGTGGTCTCGCTGTCAGGAGTGAAGCTGCAGACCTTCGTGGTGACTGTTACAGCTGTAAAAGGCAGCGCGTGTCTGGAGTTGTTCGTTCTTCCCGGTGGGTTTGTGGTCTCGCCGGCTTCAGGAGTGAAGTTGCAGACCTTCCCGGTAAGTGTTACAGCTCATAAAAGCAGCGTGGACCCAAAGAGTGAGCGGCAACAAGAGTTATTGCAAACAGCAAAAAAACAAAGCTTCCACTCAGCCGAAGGAGACCCAAGCAGGTTGCTGCTGCGGGGCTTGGGCAGCCTGCTTTTATTCCCTTATCTGACTCCACCCACATCCTGCTGATTGGTCTATTTTACAGAGAGCTGATTGGTCCATTTTGACAGAGTGCTGATTGGTGCGTTTACAATCCTTGAGCTAGACACAGAGTGCTAGAGGGAAAAGTTCTCCAAGTCCTCACTAGGTTAGTTAGACACAGAGTTAGCTAGATACAGAGTACCAATTGGTGTATTCACAAACCCTGAGCCAGACACAGAGTGCTGATTGGTGTATTTACAAACCCTGAGCTAGACACAGAGTGCTGATTGGTGCACATACAATCCTCCGGCTAGATATAAAAGTTCTCCAAGTCCCCAGTCGGTTCAGGAGCCCAGCTGGCTTGACCCAGTGGATCCTGCGCCAGGGCTGCAGGTGGAGCTTCCCGCCAGTCCGGAGCTGCACCTGCACTCCTCAGTCCTTGGGCTGTGGATGGGACCGGGCGCCACAGAGCAGGGAGCCGCGCCCTTCTCGGGGAGGCTCAGGCCGCGTGGGACCCCACCGCAGGGGGAGGAGCTCAGACATGGTGGGCTGCAGGTCCCGAGCCCTGCCCCGCCCGGAGGCAGCTAAGGCCCAGCGAGAATTTGAGTAATTTGAGTGCGGCGCCAGCGGGCGGCACTGCTGGGGGACCCGGTGCAACCTCCGCAGCTGCTGGCCAGGGTGCTAAGCCCCTCACTGCCCCGGGTGCTAAGCCCCTCACTGCCCCGGGCCGGCGGCGCCAGTCGGCCGCTCCATGTGCCGGCCCGCCGAGCCAGCGCCCGCACACGCCGGAACTCGCACGGGCCCGCGAGCACTGTGTGCAGCCCTGGTTCAGACGCAGGCCTCTCGCTCCACACTTCCCCACAAGCAGAGGAAGGCAGCTTCGCCTTCAGCCAGCCCAGAGAGGGGCTCCCAGGGTGCCATGGCAGGCTGAAGGGCTCCTCAAGCACCGCCAGAGTGGACGCGGAGGCCGAGGAGGCGCTGAGAGGGCTGCTAGCACATTGTCACCTCTCAATATGATGTCATTGAAAGAAATGTAGCATGCTTTAACATTGTAATTCTGAATGACCTTGAACTAGTAGTTTGTGACGGCGTCCCACAAATATCAAATATGTTGTTTCCTTTGGAAATTTAAAATATTCCATGATTCCCCTGTGAGTTCACTAATATACCCTGGCAGGACAATTTGAAAAGCTAAAAAACTGCACAGATCACAGACACTATCTAATTTGCATGATAGAATACTCGAATGCCTTTATAGAAATGGGTTGGAGACTGGGAGCCTGGTAAGATTATTGCCAGTACAGTAATGACGAGGATGCAACTTGCAACATAAGCAAAGGAGATGTGAAAGGGAGATTTGGGTACATTAATCTGTAGTTCTTGCTAACTACATGGATATAAGGGAGTGTGGTGTAGTAGCATAAGAAAGTGGATGAGTCCCTTTCCCAACATGGCACAAGTGTAGCTAGTGATACTAGTAACCATAATATGTTTTTAAGTATTTGATAATCATATTTGAATCTAATTGGTTTCCCTTTTTATCCTGTATTTTATATCATGTATTAAACCCATTATTCTGAAAGGGTCCATTATTAAGCTTCATCAGAATGCCAATAAGTTAAATACACCTACTGGCCACTGGATATGCAAGTCTGAAAATCAGGAGATATGATAAAAGAAACATAAATGTAGTTAAGTTTACAGGTGTTTAACTTGTGCTGGAAGCTGTGGGTATAGATACAAATTTTCAAGGAGGAATATACAGGTTACAATAAGGAGAGGCAAGGTGGAAGCACACAGAACAGAAACACAAGAGGTGAAAACAGAATGAGGCTCTAGGGTGGAAAAATTAACAGGGAATTAAGAGAACCAACAGAGAGATGTTACTGAGACAAAATGAAAAAAGCACTGGATAGGTAGAATTTGAGGAAAGCTTAAAAAGTATGCATGAAATTTTGGTAACTAGGAATTTTTTGGTGACCTTAGAAAGTTCAGAAGATTAGCATGGATAGAAATAACATTTCTGTGATGAACAAGGAATGAAACTAATTCACAAGTATAGATTAGGTTTTCTAGAAATCTGGTTGTGAAAAAAGGTGCAGTAGTTAAAGGTGGAGATAGGTCCAAGGGGTCAAACTTTTTAAAATACAAGAGATATTTGGTGATGTTTATACCTGTTACCTTGCCTTAGAGGCAGCCCTTTCTCTGAAGGAAAACTCATGAATATTTAAAGAGAAGCTAGGAAGGGAAAAGGCAATAGCTCAATTTTGTATCCCCATCTGTTCTTCCCCGCACACCCAGTTTTTGCTGCTCCTTCCATTCCAGGGCTTTCCCTTTCATTGAAAGCCTGGTCACTCCCTAAAATAACATTTTATTATCTCTGACAAAGGAAAGTACCTAGAGCTTCCATGACCTTAAATACTAATAGATAAGAGCTATCGAGTGTTTACCATGTGCCAGGCACTGTTTTAGTCACTTTACAAATATTAACTCATTTTTCTTGAAAAAAATGCCAGTCGCATCAATGAAGAAATTGACTACTAAACTCAAACTTTCTCTTTCAATTAACTACACTGGAAAGTGTGGTACATTGAAACAATCTAGACTTCAATATCATACAGAGTAGAGTTCAAATTTTGCTTCAGCTATCTGATCTTTTAGGACCTTTATAATTGCTTTATCTATGTAGTAATAAAAATATCTACTTAAGCAAAAAAATCGCTTAAGTAAGAATCAAATGATATCTCAACCACAATGCTGAGGGCAGTCTGGACTCAATAATGCCACAACTCTCTATGTCAATAAACAAAACAACAGCCATTACAGTAACAGAAAACATATATATATATATATATATATATTTCAAAGGTAACTAGTTTTGTTTTACTCAAACTATTTACAACAAAGGGCAGAGTAGAGACATGAATGGCTGCACAAGTTATTTTAATTATAAATTAATAAAAGCCTACATTAAATTCATCTTATTAACTACTTATGAGAGTGTATAAAAACTGATGAAACCAACATTTTTTGGTACTTCTGTTACTTCCGTTCGCTTCAACTTAACTATTCTTTCTAAATAGAAAATTAAAAGATGGCAAGCCATTTGTAAAAAGACATGTAATTTTGTTAATCAGGTTGACATTTTGAACATCTTCCTCTTCAGTTCAGCTGTCTTCTCATCTATCTTAGCATAAGAGTCCTCTGCTGCCTTTTCAATACCGTCGTGGTATTTCTCCAAAGCAGTTTTCAAGTTTAAAAATATTTCCTAGGTAGAAAATGAAACAGAATATAAATTATTCCATGCAACAACCTAAACTACAAATGAGTTATAGGAATTCCAAGTTTATTCATATTTATTAATATTTTAAAGCCTAAACTCTTATGCACACATATACAAATGTGCATGTCCATGTCTGCTTTTATTAAAAATTCATTCTATAAGCTGTACAAACACATCAAAAAAGTTTGCTACTTAAAGAACAAAGGAGAGACGTGAGACAAATGGCTAGGATTATAATATATTAAGAACAAACATATTTATAATTATCAAGGAAAAATTTACTTTAGAGCTTTCCATATTAAACATGGAAAATAACTACATTACTGTAGATAACTATACTCTCTGCATTTGACCCTGATTATCATTTAAAAGGTATGCAAACAGATTTAATAAGCAATCTATAAGACTGAAAAATATATTAATACCTTTTAGAGTTGTTTGAATAAACTGATCAGATAGTTCAAGCCTATATGGATGTGCTAAGAATTTTAAAAAATAAAAAAACAATTTTTATAGATTAAATAAGAAGCAAATTAGCCTGTACACATTTTCTTCCATTTCATACTTGTCAAATATAATATTGATCCTCCTTTCATTATTTATTTCTTAGACAAAACAATTCTCAAACTATAATATACATAATACCACAAGAAATTGGTATTTTACAAGGTTATAGGATGTGTTTTGCCACTGAAATAAAATAGCCATCTTTTTCCAATGGGGGAAGAAAAGCAGTATATGAATACAATGTTCTCAATTTTAAGTGTCTCTCCCACTAAATTTTTCTTAAGCCTATAATTTTGGCTACTATTTATCTTAGTTTAAATTCTAGCAGAGATACTATCTGAATAAATTACATAGATTATAATTTGATATAGTATAAATTCAGTGTTCCAAAAAAGAACACTATTTCCAGCAACTCTGCCACCTATGCAAGTTTGAGAGCTATTACTACAGATTAAGTGAATGTAAATATATGCTTAAGACTAAACATTCTCCAGAAATCCAAACATAGTTATTAAATCCTAACACAAAAATAGAAGAGTGTGTTTATATTTCTGAGATCTAAGCAGGTATCAAATTACTACAACTATGATAGAATATGAACCAATAGGAAAATAAATCAAAATTTTTGAAGGCTTTATTTCTTAAATCTTGTAGGAAAAATAAGGTGAATTAGTTGCTAGCTTGTGTGAATGCCATTATAAAAAAAAAAAACAGCACATTCAGCAGCTATAAATCAATTTAATTTTCTAGTTCTATATGAGTATATGTTTATTCATTCCAAAAAAGAAAGCTGAATAAATTTGGTAGAAAGATATTACTTATGAGAAACTATCAAAACTAAGTGTGACTAAATTAAGATATACAATCTGTACGTATCTGAACCAACCATTTCAAAACACCCAAAGGAATACTTTCCTTCTGAGAACAAATAACACTCTCAAGGAGGAGCAAAATCCTGCTGGTAGAGCCACAAGTGAATGAAATATTAAGGCCCAATTCCAGTGGCACAGGCGCAGAGACAAAAACATTTGAAGTTCTAAGCCAACCCTCACAAGATGTTTAATGGTGACAGATCGTATCCCTGACAAATACTATGTATTTTAGCATTTTCAATTAAATTCTATATCCAAGTGGAATTTTATAATATTAATCCACCCTAATTCACATATAATAAGTAAGTCTTACTGTGATGGCCTCGTTGAAGCTAAACATTTTTAAACTCAAAGGCTAGTTCTGTGCTGTCGAATATAGCAACCAGTAGACATATGTGGCTTCTTAAATTTAATCAAATTTAATTTAATCAAATGAAATTAAAAATTCAGTTCCTCAGTTGCACCAGCCACACGTCAAGGACTCAACAGCCACATGTGCCCACTGGCTACGGTATTGAGCAATACAGAAGAACATTCTCATTATAGCAGAAAGTTCTGTTGGACAGTGTCAGTCTAGATAACTATCTCACTTTTCAAATCAGAAATATTTAAGACTATATACTATCCATGGAGTCTTATAGCCAGTGTGGCCATTTATCACATACATATAAATTAATCAACCCAATATATTATTGGGTACTTTGTATAAGTAGCACTGTAAATAGTACAATAGTACAATGAAAGATGTCAGTTATGCTTTCTTTCCTAAATGAACATATAACCAGAACAGACTGGATATTGAGCACCTGAAATAGAGCTAGTGCAAATAAAGAACAAAAATTTTTTATTTTATTTCATTGTAATTAAATATAAATGTAAATAGCCACATATTACTAATAGCTGTCCACTGGACAGCACAGATCCAGATTATTTGAAATAGACTGAGAGTGCTATAGTATTTGAAAGAGGAGAGAAAGATACTTCAAAGAAGTAAAAGAAAGTTATGTGGAAGACATAATTTCTACTGGGCCTTAAATAATGGAAATGATTAGCTTAGATAGAAAATTTTTAAAGTCCTAAGGTGGAAATCATTCCTGCCTTGTTCACAACTTACTCTCTGAATCAAGTGTGAAGCCTAACACCTAGCAGATACATTGGCCATTTGTTGAAATACTGACTGGGTGAATGAATGAACTGAAGGAAAATGGCCCTTGTTTTAAACAAGAAAATGTAGTATTGAGAATAATATTTTAGCAGGATAAATGTGGTAGTACTTAGTATTCAAGGCATATTTGATGCAGAAGAATCTAAAATCAAAGAAACTTGGCAAATGTTGCTGTAATCCATGACTACCACAAAATTATGTGATAGATGTATAATAGTAAGAGTGCTGTATGTATGAAGGGCTATGTACATGTATAAAGAGTACCACCATGTAAAAGCAATCATGAAATTAACTTGGTGATTATCTGGATGTCAGGATTATCTAAAGCAAGTCCAAAATTTCAATGTTTTGTGATAGAAAATGATGCCATTGAGAAATACAAAGAAATTTATGAAGAAGTTGAGCAAAAGAGAGAAAAAGAAAAGGGAAAGACACAAAGTGAAGAAGAGGTCAGATGTGGGAAAATGTTGAATGTAATTTTAAAATATTATTTTTGTTGTGAGTGGCCAGAACAAGAAACATAGATTTTTGAAAGCTATCCAAATGAAGATAATAATTAAAACTAGAAGAGATAAATTATCTATGGGAAAGAACATTTAATGAAAAAAGACTATGATGATCACAAAATGCAACAGAACTGCACAAAGAACAATTTGGCAATCATAATATATCCTTTTTTCTTTTCAAGGATGATTATAAAGTAAGCTAAGGAGAGTTCTTTGACACAAAGTATTTGATTTTGCCAAAGTATTTAGAGACCTTCTCATTTGTGTAACAAATAGATATCACAATGTAGCCTGAATCAAGGTAGGTAAGAACAACTTAGCAAGTTGAACAATTGTACCCAAAGTTTTGATCAATAGTTCTATTCCTCTAGAATGAAAAAATTGCAATGCAGCAAAGGACCTTGTTCTAGTAAACATTTTTATTTTGAAGAAAAAGGCATGCAGATCAAATCTGAGGTGACACTAAGCAAGAAATAGTTACGGTGGAAGATAGAATGATAGATTTAAACTAACCTTGACATTTTGAAATCTAGGTTGAAATAAATAAAATAAAACCTAAAATAGTAAAATTCTGAATTAAAAGTAACAGTTGCACTAAAGTATGGTGAAAAACTCTTAACATGGCAGAACTGTATGTGGAAAAGACAGGAGTCCTTTAGTTGATCACAGGGTCAATATGAGTCAAAGGCAAGATGCTGCTGCTAAAAATCCACCCCAATATTATGCTTTATTAAAAATGTGCTTTGGGTCTTGTTGGTCACATCATTATTTTGGAAGATTGTGTTTAGCACTGGGTTCTAAATCTTAAGCAGAATAATGACAAATAGGAAATAGAGATGACAATAAATAGGACAGTAATCATCTGAAAATGAAGCTATATAAAGAATGGTGGAAAACTGGGACTAATTATCCTGAATATGAGAAGGCTGAAAGAAACCATGATCATTATCCTCAAATGTCTGAAGGGTTATTAAGCAGAAAAGGGTACACATTTGCTCCACAGAGAAGATCTGGGCTGACTACAGAGTACAGAAATAAATATTTTAAACTCAAAATAAGAGACAGAATTTTAACAATTAAAGCTGCCCTAGTAGAACAGCTTGGGTGACCATACCCATTGAAAACTCTATACCACTGAAAACAATTAAGCCAAGCCTATCAGTGGTTCTCAAATGCCACATTAAAAAACACAATTTCATGGGCCCCATTGCTGGAGATGCTAATCAATGTGTTTGGGTGAGGATTTGTTCATTTTAAAATTCCTCACTGAATTCGAATACACAGCTAGTTTTAAGAAACACCATGCTAGATGACCTTTCAATTCTATAAATATTTATGGAAAGCATACTACACATAAGGCAGCATTCTAGGAATGGTTTGACATGATATGCTAAGGTTAACGTTAGACAGTTGCTACTGTTAAGAAATGGAAAATGTAACTGGCAAGACATACAGGCATAAAACTCAAAGTAATATAAGGTAGGCATGGGTATCTCATAACTGACAGACAAAGATGCCTCGAATCTGAGTTAGTAACTAGTTACTAATTTGTTAGTAACTGGTTCACTAACTGTTCCTAGACCACGTTATAACATATAAATATTTGTTGATTAGATTTGGTTAAGAAGCAGGATTAAATATGTGCTAAGTCTTTCTAATCGCCATACTAGACAGACTGACTCTTGGTGAATATCAAGTTAAGAGGCAGGAAAAAGAAAAGTAGTTGAGGTATACAAAAAAAAAAAAAAAAAACCCAGAAAAAAGCAGGCCAGTGTATTGGGAAGACCATGGAAGTGAAATCCCAACCATTTTATTTCTTTTACATCCAGTTTCCCTCTTCCTTTCCTTGCTCTATTCCCTTTTCTTTCCTTCCTTTTAACATAGCCTTAAGATAATGCTCATATGTGCAAGTGCTAACAACACAATTTTTCTGGGGGATAAGGTACTGAGAACAGATAAGGGAATTGTCTATTGTGGCTCTGTTAGTATTAAGAATTTTTACAAATTGGGTGTGGATAGCAGAAAGTAATGGCAGCAGATGTTTAAATATTTATCAGGTATCAGCGGTTTTAGAAATCTGGATGTAAGTTGTCAATGTAGACAAGGTAAAGAATGAAAAAAAAAAGAGGCTAAGGGATTTTGCATAATAAATAGCAATTTTTTGTGGTTTCTGGCAGAGCAGTTTGAATTATTGTTCTGGTAGAACACTCTTGAAGATATAAATCAAACTCAAAAGATAAGGAGAGAATAAATATATAATAAATATATCAGAAATAGACTACTTGTTAGAGACACTGGCAGTTAAAAGGATAGAAACAGGTAAACCTTTTATGTTTAGCATTGTACTAGCATTTTTAAAGATAAAAATGTAGGAGACAAGACGCCTGTTCTCATTAAACTGAGGACTGTTTATGAAGCTTTACAGTAAATATATTCAAAAGAAGAATAAAGAGAAAATAATTTTAGGTATCATGAAAAGTCTCATTACACACAGAGACCAAGTAAGCTGTTTTGTTTCAGTTAACAACTCAAATACATATGAGATTATCTGAAATTAACTTCTTATGAACACATATTCACCTGGGACTTCAGTTTCTCCCTTTCAGCAGCATCTTTTAGTTGTTGAATTCCAAGTTTAATTTTTTGGATTTCTTGATTAATTGTGGTTACTCGTTCATAGACAGCACCTCTTTTTTCTTGAACTTTATTGCAATCCCTAAAAGAAAATCAACACAGCTAATATTTAATCCTCTTCAGTAACTAAAAAGGCAAACACAATTCTAGTTTTGATTCCAAAGTGACCATGTGTCAGTATTTGTTTGACAAACCTAAAACTCTTCTCAAGATATAAAAGCAAAGGCATGAAAACCCCAAAAAGTGGTGCTATAATCATATCATAGCATAGCATGAACTATTTCTCTCAATATATTAATGAGATTTTTTTTTTCTCATTGGTGGGTCAGTGAATGAGTAAATAAATAAATAAACACATTTTTTAAATGAAGATTTTTAAAGTTACATTTCCCCAGTTGTACACACTTAGGTGTGAATCAGTTTAACTTTTCTACAAGGCACTTTGGCAACAAATATAAAATCCTTAGGTTCTGCCCTTTTTCATCTGCATGAGGCAGTATGAAGGAAACACTCAATGATCGCTAACATACCTTTTAGGAACTGAAGGAATGACATCATAGACATATCTGGGGCAGGTATTTTAAAAACACATTCTTACAACTGATGGGTACTTCACCAATAAAGGACCCTAACATACTGGCTAAAAACATACTTGCATACTTAGGAAAGTATTACTTCTTACCTGAATATAAGACTTTTTCTCAAAACACAAATGCTGTAACTCTACAGACCAGCTGGACTATAAGATAGGCCAGTTAGTTCATTCTGATGCAAGCTAAACCACTATCTCTAAAGTGCACTGAAATAATCAGTAGCATCAGAACCCTTCTGAAGAATGATGCGAAGGAATTGGAACTGTATATCTAGGAAAAGAGTAGCTAAGCCATCTCTATATCTAGACCTAGCAGTATAAGTTTTATAATTAACTCATCTGTTTTAGTCAACTAAAGGTGAAATAAAGATAAAACTGTTTAAACTCTTTTTGAAAATAGAGGTTTTGAAATCCTGGGGGAAAAATGTATTTGCTTTTCATAATCGCTTTCTAATACACTAAAATTGAAAACAACTTCATACTCAATTACTGTGCGTTTGTATTGCTTAACGTCTTCATGTTTCTTATTTATTTTGAATTGTGCTGTGGCAAGTTTTTCCTTCTTCACAATCATCAGTCTTTTGAATGAATTTTCTTCAGTCTTCAATTTCTTCAGTTCTGACTCATCACTCTCAATTTGGTCCTCTAGGCTCAGGCTCTGTATTTTATAAGAAGTATTTAAAGTCAACATAACCAATGAGGATTTATAAATAAAATGAAAGAGTATTTTCTAGGATGAACTATAATTAAACACAATTTTTAAAAGAGATAAAACTCTAAAGCCTGAAAGCCTGGCAGAATAATGCAGACGAACCAGAAGAGACAACAGGGAGGCACCAGAGATACTGAGAAAGGACATGACAACTAGAGAGGTATTTTCATCACGTTATTCTATCAGCATAGACTGAAAGGGAGACATGTTAAGAAGATTAGCTAAGAGACTAGAGTTGAGGGGGTTAGGATCTGAACTAAAGTAGTAAAAATAAAGGGAAAAGGGTAGGTGTGAGAAACAATTCAAAGCAGTAGATACGCATCTCTTTTGGGTGACTCAATGGCAGATGAGGGGACTATGTAGTTGGGAAAGAATACCTGGGGCAATCTCACCTTCTAATCCCTACTTATCTCAAAAAGGAAATTGTTTATCAAATGTAATGTTAGTTATCCTGGAGGCGCAGTCTGGATGAAGATGATCAAGTTAGTGGCGGATGCCTGCAGTCCCAGCTACTCAGGAGGCTGAGGCAGGAGAATGGCGTGAACCCGGGAGGTGGAGCTTGCAGTGAGCTGAGATCCGGCCACTGCACTCCAGCCTGGGTGACAGAGCGAGACTCCGTCTCAAAAAAAAAAAAAAAAAAAAAAAGAAGTAAAAAAGGATTTTCAAGCTTGTAGCCTGAGAAACTGCCATTAGCTCTCATTTCTTCAGGGCAGAGGACTATGTCATAAACTTTAAATTTCTCCATAGGTCCTAGATACAGTGTTGGGCACTAAGTTGGAACTTTCTTTCTGATGCTAACATCATTTCCAACTGGTAGAACAAATTTAAAATCCCATGACAGTAGTTCGTTCCCCTTATCCATGGCTTCACTTTCCATGGTTACAGTTACCCCTGGTCAACTGTGGTCTAAAAATATTAAATGAAAAGTATTAGAAATAAACAATTCATCAGTTTTAAACTGTGTGCTGTTCTGAGTACTGTGACTAATCTTGCACCATCCTACTCCATCCCACCCTGGATGTCTGGGTGTGTGTGCTTTTGAGATGGGGCTTCACTCTGTCACTCAGACTTGGAGTGCAGCAGAACGATCATAGCTCACTGTAGTCTTGACTTCCTGGGCTCAAGTGATCCTCCCACCTCAGACTCCCAAGTGGCTGGGACTACAGACATACACCATCATAGCTAGCTAACTTTTTAAATTTTCTGTAGAGATAGCATCTTGCTATGTTGTTCAAGCTGGTCTCCAACTCTTGGTCTCAATGGTCCTCGCTCCTCAGCCTTCCAAAGTTCTGGGATTACAGGCTTGAGCCACCATGCCCAGCCCTGACCCTGAAGTGAATCATCCCTTTGCACAGCAGATTCATGCTGTATACACTACTGGCTCTCTAGTCATCAACATCCAACTGTCAACATCATAGTGCCTTGAGGATCTAGGATCACATGAAGCAGATGATCCTTACTCTGATGTATGGTCAGAAGGTTAACAGTAGCCTAGCAATATCTCACTTCAATTATTTATCTAGGCATTTTATCATCTCACATCATCACAAGAAGGGTGAGTTTAGTACAATAAGATATTTTGAGAGAGAGACCACATTCACGTAACTTTTATTACAGTATATTGCTATAAATGCTCTTTTATTAGTAATTATTATTAATGTCTTACTGTGCCTAAGTTTTAAATTAAACTTTATCATAGGTATGTATGTATAGGAAAAAACATATATATAGGGTTTGTTACTATCTACAGTTTCAGGAATGCCCTGGGGGTCTTGAAATGAATCCCGAGGATAAGGGGGAGCTACTGTACTACTTTCCAAAATATACACAGCAATGTACTGGGTTAGTTATTATTAATTTCATCTGAAGGTTAAAAATTGGGTCTTGCTACTGCTATATTTAAAAAGAAAAGTGTCATTTTCATAGCATACACTGCCACATCTATTATATTGTAGAATGACCCTGCTTTTCTTTAGGAAAACAGTAACAAAAAGTGAAAGCAAAATCCAAGGAACTATAGTAAACTGTATATAACAAAGACATAAAAATTCCATACAATACAAACCTCCTTTAAGATACTGGCTAATTTTTCCCTATTATCTGAAAGGTCCTGTATTTTCTTTTGATATAACTGCACTTCCAACTGACATGAAGGCAGGCAGTCAACTGAATCTCCATAGATTTCATATTTCTCCACCACTTCTTGCTTTGAAAGACAAAAAACAAAGACCACAGTTTGATATTCTTCTTAATGAAGCTGCAGTAATATCAATTTGTTTGCTCTTAAATAATTTCTGCATTTAATACTGAAACTTAAGAGCAGGGAATAATTAAATTTCTAGGTCAGTAATACAGCACTATTATTGACATGTGTTTAAGCACAAATAATTGTTTTTTAATTGCCAAGTATCTTCAAACAAAGGAAAATTGCCATAATTTTACTAAATTACTCGATGAAATACCTTCCAAAAGTTATTAATGATGATATTAAAATAGTTTATTTTGCTAATATTCAAACTATTTCTGATTACTCCTGGGCTATCAATCGTATTACTCATTTATAATCTTCCTATTCATTTGTATAATAACGACTACTACAGTTAATTCTTTTAAAAAGATTAACTCCTCATCTAAAATTACAAAATGAACATATATTTACTACAACCATGGTAACAATACAAAGACTCCTTCCCTTATTCTCACTAGCCTACCCCTCGATCTACCTTATTTTTTTCTTTTTCTTACTAATTTGTAATCTTTGCAAATCATGGATATAATCCCTCTACCTGTCATATGCACTGTAATTATGTTCTAATGTCTAATTTTCTCTAAAGATTTTCTGTTTCTAATCTTAATTTAAAAAATCTATCCTAGTCCAAGATTATATAAATGTTCTCCTAAAATCAGTAAAACTTAAATTTTTTAAGGTAAATTTTTAATACATATAAAATTTATTTTTGTAAAAGAGCACAGTGTAGGCCCAACACCCTTTTCTTCTAGATGAATCGCTAATTGAGTCAGAACTGTTTCTTAAATAAATCATCCTTTTCTCATTAATACTCAAATCTATTTCTGGATTCTCATTTCTGTTCTGGTGATCTTTGTCTATTCTTGTGTGATAATCTTAATTTTCAAGACAGAATTGGATAACAAATTCAAAGACAAACCACATATGTTTTTTAAATTAATAGTTTAAAAACAATGCTTCACAAAAGATGGTAAATTGTCTGCCCACTTCTAAGTTTGTATTGCACCACGTCAATCCATCTCCTACATAACCCATAATCTTGAACATACCTTACTCCCTACTACCTCACAGAATTCACATATGCTGTTCCCTCTGCCTTTCATATTCTTCCATACACAATGAATTGGGCCTTGGTACTGCTATGTTTAAAATGAAAAGTATCTTTTTTTAATGCTAGCATCTGAAGAATGGTAGCATTCTTCCTTCCCTCTTCCACCTGTACTTCCAGCCCAATACTAAACTGGGCTCCCCCTTATTACATTATTTCAAAGCACTCTATACTTCCTTTCCTCTTTGATACTATTAATAGATTTTAATTTTTCAAGCAGTTAGACATTCACAGCAAAATTAATCAAAAGGTACAGAGATTTCTCATATACCCCTATCCACACACATGCATACCTTATACTTTGTCATAGTATATATTATAATTTATAATTACAATTGTTTGTAAAATTACTTAATACTTTTCTCCCTTGTAATAAAGTAATTAAATCTCATGACCCAGCATTTCTGTTTTGATCTCCCAGAGCAAAGCCTTGTTGCATAATTGAACATATGTCTTGAAATTATATTTAGTTTCCCCATATCCACTCTAGAGAAAAGCTACAAAGAAATAAGGTCAAAAAAAGTTTAAGAGGAAGTATAGATAATTCAGAAATCCAAAAAATAACACATAATTAAACAAGAATTTGCTTTTTTTTTTTTTTAAAGATACAAAAGCATTAAAATAAAAAGAAAACTCACTCTGGCGTTTTTAAGCTTCTGGACCGTATCTTTCATTTTTTCTTTATAATTTTTTAGCTTCTCTGGAGAATCCACAATTTTTGTTTTCAAACTCTCTTGTATTTCTTTCAAAGAAACCACTGACAATTTTAGTTCATTCTGTTGAGAAAACATTTTTATATATTAGATATAATAAACTTGGTGATTTACCATTCTAGTATAATGGGAAAGAACAAAGAAATTAGGTCCATGTTCTCTGTAATGGGGGTAAAATTAAATTCTGAACACATCACTTACCTACTTAATTGCTCACATTTGTCTGTAGGCCAAAGATCAAGCTCCTCCTTAGCAGGACATTCAAAGCCTTTCATTACATGGCTCTTACTCTCATCCTGTCTAGTCTCATCTCCCACCAGTTCCCTACTGCACCCTACAATCTGGTAATTCTGATCTTATGTTTAGACAAGTATAAGTGATCTTTCTTTGACCAGTAGGATCCTCCTAGAATATCATTATCCCACTCCTGTCTACCTGCTAAATTTGTACTGATCCCTGAAAATCCTGCTCCCATTTTCTCTACGTTTCTTCTTTAAATAGTACAATTTTTGTACGTGCAACTCTATAATTATGTACTTAATATGTGTTTCATAAGACTGAGCAAATTGGAGTTGTGAAAATGTATCTTGGTTTTCCAAGTACCCAAATAAAGTTATAGCACTGAGAAGGTGCTCACTACATGCTTGCTGAATGAAAACAAATTCCCTTCTCCTGAATTTCAAAAATGAATGTAACTATTCAAAGAATTGAAGTGAAGGGTGGCTGGAAATTATCTTGAAAGTTTGTTGTTTTAAGTCTGAAATTATGTCAAAAAAATTCCTATGAATTTTCTCCTCAGATATTTGTTGATAAGTTGTATTTACATTGTCTGGGGACCCTCGATGACTCTATGTACTAACAGGAAAGATTTTCCAGATATATTAAGTGAAAGAACCAATTCACAGATCAACATATAAGACATAAATACATTTCTATAAAAACAGAACAAAATAGTGACACATGATTATGTGCCTCTATATGTGTATACATATGGTGTCGGAAAAAGGAAGGGAATAGTATTACCTCAAGGTAAAATGGGCTGAGAGGAGGCCTTTCACATTTCGTACCCTTCTCTCTCTCTCTCTCTATATATATATATGTATATATATGTATACTCCTCTCTCTATATATACATATATATACGTGTGTGTGTGTATGTAAAGAGAGAACATTTTATAACAAGAATGTATTACTGTGTTGTGTAATTTGTCTAAATATTTTTAACTTAAAAGAGTCTTACTTTTTGATCAGCTAACTCAGAGGCCAAAACTGCATGTTCGATATAATGTATTCCTGTAATTTCTGTATATTTTGTTATTTTATTCTTAGATTTCTGCAAATCACATTATCTACTCTCTTTTAATGCTCTACAAGATTAGAGGTTATTTTCCTTACAATAGTGTTAACTTTCATCACTTTTCTCCTCTTTATAAAAGGTCTAAACTTGATAAGTACAAAGTGTTTGTTTTAACTTGGATTTAAATGGGACAGAAAGAAGTAAATAATAAAATTGAGCCATAGTAAGTACTACTCAGATGAAAGCATTTCCCAATTAAAAAAATGATAGAAAAATAAGGGAAATATAATACCGCAGTGAGTTTCTCAAGGATCTAAAGAATACATGTTAAAATAATAAGGAAACTATAAAAGTACAATGAGAAAATATAGTATTAAAAAATAATCTGATGAATAGGGCAGTCCTTTCTATGTACATAATTAAAGCCAAAAACCATAAAGGCCTTATCTATAAATTTTATTACATAAAAACATAAACCTTTTAATGGGCAAAAAATATATAAATTTGACAGACAAATAAATGGAGAGCTAAAATCCCTAATTCATGGAGTTTATTGAAAAATAAATAAGTGGCCAGGTGCGGTGGCTCACACTTGTAATCCTAGCACTTTCGGAGGCTGAGGTGGGTGGATCACTTGAGGTCAGGAGTTCAAAACCACTCTGGCCAACATGGTAAAACCCTGTCTCTACTAAAAACACAAAAAAATTAGTCGGGAGTGGTGGCGAATGTCTGTAATCCCAGTTACTTGGGAGGCTGAGGCAAGAGAATCCTTTGAACCTGGGAGACAGAGGTTGCAGTGAGTTGAGATCATGCCATTGCACTCCAACCTGGGCAAACGAGTGAGACTCCATCTCAAAAAATAAATAAATAAATAAATAAAATAAATAAATAAGCAAGGTACACAAACAAGTAACATACACAATAAGAAATTACAAGAAATCACTAAGCAAGATGGCCGAAATCACTAGAATTAAAGGAATTAAATTAAAATGAGATTATTTTGGCCTGGCATGGTGGCTCATGCCTGTAATCCCAGCACTTTGCGAGGCCAAGGAGGGTAGATCACGAGGTCAAGAGTTCGAGAGCAGCCTGCATAATACGGTGAAACCCCGCCTATACTAAAAATACAAAAATTAGCTGGGCATGGTGGCGCGCGCCTGTAGTCCCAGCTGGTCAGAAGGCTGAGGCAGAATTGCTTGAACCCAGGAGGTGGAGGTTGTGGTGAGTCAAGATCACGCCACTGCACTCCAGCCTGGGTGACAGAGTGAGACTCTGTCTCAAAAAAATAAATAAATAAAAATAAAATGAGATTTTTTTTTTCAATATAACAGTAACAAAGATTTTAAAAGCCTGAAAACATCCAATTTTGGCAAGGGTGTAGGGAAAGGGACAGTCTCTTGTTCTACTGGTAGTAATATAAATTGGTATCTTTCTAGAAATCAGTTTGGCTGCATTGGTCAATTTTACATGTGTATTTCCTATGACCCAAAAATCCTAAACAAAAAAAATTATTTTAAATAAAAGCAGCATGTTGCAGAAATGTATGTATGTACATATGTATGCATATGATACACACATACATATATTTCTGTTTAATAGCAAAAAATTAGAAGCAATGTGAAAGTCTATCAGTAGAGGATTAAAAGGATCTACAAGACAGCACATACATATAATGCACAACTAGAAGCAAGCATTAATATAACGAGGATCTATTTAAAACTCATCCCTGTGTTATATTGCTAAAAAGGGAAAAAAGCAGGTAAGACGTATTGAGCCTAATATCATTTATGTAAAATTACACACGTATATTTACATATACATAGCAAATACAATCTTTGATATACATCAGATTGTATAGTGAGCTTTCAGGTGATTTATACTTTCTTCATACATTTCTGCGTTTTGGTATTTTTTAAAACAATAGTCATCTATTATATTTAAGTTGAAAAAGATTGCTTCATTTTGAGGGAAAAAAGGGAGAAACATTTGACAATAATAACACACACAGCTAAAACACTCCTCTACACAATATATTCAAACTTTAAATGCTAGTGAAAAGAAAAGATGTTTACCAAACGCTTGGTTTTCTCTGAAATATTTGACTTCTTTTGGGAATTTCCCTCTTGCAGCACTATCTAAGGGAAAAAGCAAACACATGTTTTATAATGATTCAAAACATTTAATTTAGCCACTCACTGCTGTCTTATAAAATTAAGGTAAGAAAGGAGTTAAATGTGTTAGATCAGATATTCTTTTAACTTTCTCTGTTCATGATGCTCCTAAGCCAAAAGATATATCTAAGAGCTCCTTTACTAAGTAGTTAAGTCCAAATAACGGCCTAAGTATTTATGTCCTAACATTGTAGCCCTTTGAAAAATAATACATATCAGTTGAAATAAAAATTTTTTATTTTGTTTTTAAATAACCTCGAGTACTTCCTAGTTAGATGTATGTACCTACTGGGCACTGCATACATTCATGTACCTTGGAGCGTATATTTCAGATTAGATACAGAATTCTCATTTCCTGTGTCACAGTGATTTTTACATTGTACTTGCTTTTACCACAGTAAATGCCAAACCCCAGCTTCACAAGGATATGAAAGGAATGTGACCAAAAATTGAAACTGTGAACTTCCTTGAATTCAAGAAGGATATGACAGATGCTGAGTACTACAGTGATTCCCTTGAAAATTCAAGATACTTTGAGGCATTCTTGAGAGTTTACTGCAGTATCCAGGGCGCCACAGTACATGGTTTGGAAGCAGCAAAACTAGACCTAGGAAAACCCTAAAAAATTATATTCAATAAGACAACAAAAAACTTTGCCAACAAAACGCATCATGGTTCTAGATGGTTGAGAGAAGTATATATCCATTATAAGGGGCACAAATAGGCACAGAAATATATTCTATTTCTTTGGTAATAGAGAAAGCAATGTGCTGTTACCTCCACTATATGTCCCACCACATCTACAAATTTTATTTTTTAAAGTTTAAGGTGCCCCACAACAGATACCGTTTTCTGATGAAAATCCTGATTTAGTGATTGTTGTAGCTCCTGAATACCATCTGAAAGTTGCTTGAACTCTTCTTGCTCTTCAACTGGAACAGAACTTAACACAGCAAAATAGATTAAAATACCGCTCTTCAGTTTTGAAAGGCTAAAATGAAATACCTGTCCTCAAATAACTTAGATGAAGAAATCCTCTACTTTTATGTTTCTGAATTACACCTTTTCATGTGGCAACCTTTTAAAATGAATGATCTGGCCTCTACTACAGGCAAAAAATAAAAATCAAATGAGCTCCTTCAGTTTTCTACTATCAAATCTATGGATCCATCCACATACATACCTACCCTTTCTAACTTCACTCCTAATAAAATGCATATTGTATTCCTTCTGGTAATGCTGATTTCTCTACCTCTGTACTGGCTATCATCGCCTCACATCTCTTACTCCCGTATCATCCATTCTTCCACTACTAGTCCTTCCTTACAACACTTACACGTGTTCAAGTCTCTTCCATATGAATGTTTTCAAATTTAGTTTTTGCCTATCTGATATATTAGCTGTTTTTATATAAACTCCCTGTTTAAAGCCTTTGTCTATTTTTTTTTAAAGTTATACTTTTTCCTATCAGTTTATAGGGCTGCTTTATAGTTTTGTATATTATATTTGTATATTAGGAATATTACATGGGTTTTGTTATTAGAGTTGTAAGGCTTTGTGGCATGTGCTGCAAATATTCTCTCCACTTTGTCATTCTTCTTTTGATTTAGTTTGTGGTATCTTTTACCCTGTTACAGTCTAATGTCTGCCTGTCCCCAGTCTTTTCAGCTTACTGCTGCCTGTAAAGGCAATTTTAACCAGGGGCAGGTTAGAAAATCTCTCACCTAAAATAGATAACCTCAAAGACATCTCTATAAATTAGAAGAGATTTCAAAAATCCTGCTCAAAATCAATATATATATGAGGAAGGCCAAGAAATCATAATTGTTGAGTGATTCTTTTCCCTACATTACCTATAAGTCAAAAACAAAACAAATAGACAAAAAACTCTGTTGTAGGAGTAAACATTTGATGGAATCAACTGATCTGAAGGAACATAGTCCAGGCAGTTACTGCTCACTTACATAAGACGATATTCCAGACACAAATTAGAAGAGTAGGCTAAAGGCTTTAAACAAATCAGGCTAACACATCAACAACAGAAAAAGCCAAAGGATGTATTACATAATTAAGAGTTAGAAGAAAAACTAGTTTTTCTTTTTTCTTTTTTTTTTAGAAAAGGCAAACTCAAATACCCTGCTATTTATTAAGGGAGATAAAAGAGACTTAAGGTGGACTATAGGGTTGTAAAATACTACTTACAATTCATTTTGCATTTTGAAATTGCATTTATTTTACTTGTAAATCTCCCACTTACTCAAGTCTCTCCAGTTTCATTAATGCCTCCTGGTGTGCAGCGTTTAACTGTTGCATTTTGTCCGCAGAGGATTTCTATTAAAGTAATTTTAATCATCTCATATTAGTGCATTTCAACACAATCAGAGTGTCCAAAATGCTTACTCATACTATAGTTTGAACCATCAGAAATAAGAAATTTAAGATAGAGTTAGGCCTTCATGACAAATGAATTAGGAATTTCTTTACTCAACACAAATGTCGGGCTCTCATCATAGGCACTGAGCTCAGTACTGAGAATTCTCAAGAAGACTAACTTATAGGTCTTGAACTTAAGTAGCTAAGTCTCCTTGAGGAGCCAGATACAAGAACAAAAACCCACAAAATAGCTTGTTGTTTTTAATATAATGGGAACCAACAAGAGTGACATCTAACCCAACTTGGGTAATGGCTGGGAAGAAGGGTGATAGGACATCATAGAGGTGATAGATGTCTGAGGTGTGTCTTAAAGATAGTGGATACTTAACCAAGCAAAATTATGAGAGTGTGTGTATGTTGGCACATGAATGTGGTAAGCTTTGAAGATTATATGATGTTTAGGAGGTATAAGCTTAGCATGATTTGTGCAAAGAAGTATGGATCTATAGCTCAGTGAAGCTGGAGCCTAGGGTCTCAGTGTTTGGAGTTACTCTGGTGCTTTTCTAAGAGTATGGTACCCCATTACTGAAGACAAATGGGAAAAATCACACAGATGACTCATAATCTTCCCAAATTCTCTAAATTGTTGATGAAAGGAAAATGAGTTTCTGTCTGTTAAAGAGATTGCCTTGGACTGAATCTGAGCAACCATGATAAATACCACCACAAACAGTCCAATTATGCCATTATTTAAAAGGCAATATAAACCTCAAATATGTCCATTATTTAATAAAAGCTACATTATGCAAACTTCAAAGAAAAAAATGTAAACATATCAATATTCCCTAACATTTCCTCATAAAGGAAAACAAGCCTCAGCTACAAGATTTTAAAACAAGCAGAACTCAGCATCTCCACAATGTTACCAAATTTCAAAGAAAATCCGATTCTGAGATATGCTTTCCAGTAACTAAAATCTGCAAGTTTACATAAATATAAAAATGAATTCAATTCTAAAGGCAATACAGCAATTTGCTATCTATGGCAATCATTTCAAAACAGATTATAAGTTCATAAATAATTTTACTGATCTGGCATGTAACCCCAAAACATATTTAAATCTTACATATTGCCAAAGAAATTCCATATACGTCTCACGGCATGCTTCTCTGAAGTGAATAAAGTTGATAATGCCACTTAAAAACCGACTCGTCCGTTTTGCTTCTAAAATAGAAAGCAACACTCTTTAAATAAACCTTTGAACTAACATAACATGAAAATGAAAATTCATCCTCTTCCACTATATATTCTGCTCATAATACATAAAATAAAACTGTATAGGTTATAATAAAGTGTAGAAAATCTGCTCAAACTTAAAGGTAAGAATTATCTTTGTATTAATAACTTAAAAAAAAAAAAGGCAACCCACTTTTGGTCATGAAGAAATAACAAAAACCAGAATTACCCTCCCATATTAAAAAACTAGAAAAACAAATAAAAATACATGAAGCAACAAATTTTAGATGCTGGACAACAGGCAATACAGTATAGCAATCGCCAAGAGAAACAAATGAGGTGAACTCTATTACTGCACCAGCCTATGACTGAAGAGTTTTCAGGCTGTACTCCAGAGAAAGAGAACACAAATAAAACCTGTGAATCTTGCTGGATCAAGAAGACAGAGTTTAGAGTTAGTAGAAGCCAAAGCGACTAGGATTTATGGAACTGAGTATTGAGACGAGGAAGCTGTAAATAGAAAGAGTTCTGGAAATCTGTAGAGGAATCCCCTCAAGTTCTCAGTTAAGTACTAATTAGTTCATGAATAGGAAGAAACTACTGAGGCCAGGAAAACAATCAAAAATATTTAAAGGAATAAAAAAAATCCAGCAACTAACAATGTAAAATTCACAATGTCTGGCATGGGCTAAAAATAACCAGACATGCCAACAAAAAGGACAACATGATCCATAAGAAAATACAATCAATCAACAGAAACATATTAAAAAATAACACAAATAAATAGATGATAGATTTAGTAGATAAGAATGTGAAAACAGTCTTTATAAATAAATAAAGGGGGCAGAGAAAATAATCAGCCATATGAAGAAATAAAAGATATTTTAAAAAAGATCTGAATTAAGAGTTGAAAAATACCTGAAATAAAAATTACACTGATAGGAATAACAGATTAGACCTAAAATAAAAGGATTCATGAAATTGAAGACATAATAGAAGTCATCTAAAATAAAGGCCAGAGAGAAAAAAATGAATACAATATCTGAGCTGAGAGACAGTATCAAGCAGCATAACTAATGTGTAATTGGAATCCTACAAAAAGAAGGGACAAAAAAACTTTTACAGAATAGTTGAATGTTTTCCAAATTGTATAAAAACAATAACCATATCCAAGTAAGTGAACAAACCTAAATGGGGGGCAGGGATGGAGAGGGAGGGAAGAAAGAACAGAGAAACAAACAAACAAACAAAAAACAACCAAAAGTCACATTACATTCAAACTGCTAATAACTAACTTAGAAGGCAAAAAAAAAAAAATCTTAGCAGCAGCCAGAGGAAAACAAAACACATTATAGAGAAAGAAACAAAGATAAGAAAAGCAACAGACTTATCAGAAACAATGCGAGTCAGAAGACAATGGAGCAATATATTTAAAGCACTGAAAAAACTGTCAACTAAGAATTCTATGTTGTAGTCCCTCAGTATCTGCTGGATATTGGTTCCAGGATGCCTACAGAACCCAAGTCTGTGAATGCACCAGTCCCTTACACCAGGCACAGTGGCCGGGTGCGGTGGCTCACACCTGTAATCCTAGTACTTTGGGAGGCCGAGGCCAGTGGATCACGAGGTCAAGAGATCGAGACCATCCTGGCCAACATGATGAAACCCCTTCTCTACTAAAACTACAAAAATTAGCTGGGTGTGGTTATGTGCACCTGTAGTCCCAGCTACTCGAGAGGCTGAGGCAGAAGGATCACTTGAACCTGGGAGGTGGAGGTTGCAGTGAGCCGAGACTGTGCCACTGCACAACAGCCTGGTGACAGAGTGAGACTCCGTCTCAAAAACAAAAACAAAAAAACCCGAAAAAACAAACAAAACAAACACACAAAAAATGGCATAGTATAGTCAGCCCTCCATATCTGTGCATTGTGCATCTGCAGATACAACCAACTATGGATTAAAAACTTGACTTTTCATATCCACTGAGTGCTTAAGAAAAATACCTTTTATTTATCCATTTTTCTTTCTTTCCTTCTCAAAAAGGAGCGGGTCTCACTGTATTGCTCAGGCTGGGATGCAGTGGCACGATCATAGCATAGCTCCCTGCAGTCTCAAATTCCTGGACTCAAGTTATTCTCCCATCTAAGCTGCTGGAATAGCTAGGATTACAGGTATCCATCACCACACCTGGCTCATTTTTAAAGTTTGTTTTGTAGAAAAAGGATTTTGCTATATTGCCCAGGCTGGTCTCAAACTCCCGGACTCAAGCAATTCTCCCACCTTGGCCTCTCAAAATGATAAGATTACAGGTGAGAGTCACTACACCTGGCCTCAAGAAAAATACCTTTCAAAAATTAAAGTGAAGTAAAGGCTTTTTAACAGCACTACAAGAAGTGTTAAATAAAATGCTTCATGTGTAAGAAAAATCATACCAGATGGAAATTTGGTGTACTTAAAAGAATGTGAGTTAACATAAAAGACATTTTTCCTCATATAAAAAAATCTCTTTAAGAAAGAAATCATATCAAAAAAATGAATGCACTTGTATGTTTATTGTAGCACTATTCACAATAGCAAACATATAAAATGAACCTGTGTCAATCATTGGAGGATTAGATTTTTAAAATGTGGTGTGCATATACCACAGAACACTACTCAACCACTAAAGAAATAATGTCTTTTGCAGCAATATGGTTGGAACTTGAGGCTATCCTAAGTGAAATAACTCAGAAACAGAAAGTCAAATACTGCACATTGTCACTTATAAGCGGGAACTAAACAATGGGTACACATGGACATACAAAGTAGAACAGACATTGGAGACTCCAAAATGTGGGAGGACAGGAGAGGGATGAGGGTTGGAAAACTACTGATTTGGTACAATGTTCACTACTTGAGCGATGGGTGCACTAAAAGCTGAGATTTCATCACTACACAATATATGTATGCAAGAAATCTGCACTTGTACCCTCTATGTGTATTTTTTAAATGTCAAAATAGAAAATCCTTTAAAAGATAACAGTTTCACACAAATCTAATATCGATTAAGGGGTTTATGATATCTTTAAAAGTAAACTTTATGACACAATAGCACAAAGACCAGTAGTGGAGAAAATAAAAGTATATTATTGTAAGGTATACTATATTTGAAGACAGATAATGGTATGCTAAAGATATACATATATATACTAAAACTTGGAGCAAATACCATTTGAAAAAGACATATAGCTGATAAGCCAATAACAGACAAGGTAGAATATCTTTTTCATATATAGTATTATATAAAATAAAATTTATTTTAATAAACCAAAATAAGGCACGAAATAGAGAGAACAGGACTAAAGAACAGGACAAAGAGAAAACAAATAGTATGAAGGTGGATTTAAGCCCAATCATATCAATAATAACATTAAATGTAAATGGTCTAAGACTGATTAAAAGACAGCGATAGTGATGTTGAATTTAAAAAGCAAGACTCAACCATATGCTGTCTACAAGAAACCCATTTTAAATATAAAGACACAAGTTACAAGGATGATATGGCATGGTAACACTAATGAAAAGAAAACCTGAAGTAGCTATGGTAATATCAAATCAAGTATATTTCAGAGCAAAGACTATGTCATCAAGAGGATATAGCAATTCTAAATGTGTATGCTTCTAAAACTAGAGCTTCAAGGTACATAAAACAAAAATTTAAAGAACAGACAAAACAGACAAACTCACAATCATAGCTGAAGATTTTAACATCTATCAACAGTTCAATAGAACAACCAGCAAAAAAAAGTCTGTAAGGACCCAGTAGGCTTGAACAACGCTATTAACCAACTGGATCCAATTAACATGTTTAAAACACTCCACTCATCAACAACAGTGCTCATGGAACTTTTACAAGGGTAGACCATGTGGTGGGCTGAATAATAGCAACCAAAGATGTTCAGGTCCTACTCCTTGGAATTTGTGCATGTTACCTTATTTGCAAAGTGGCTTTATAAGTATAATTAAAGATCTTGAAAATGAGAAAATTATTATAGAATAACTAGGTGGGCCCTAAATGCAATCACAGTGTCCTTATAAGAGAAAAGTAGAGAAAGATTGGACTATACACAGAAAGTAGAAAGCAATGTGATCATGAAAGTGGAAAGAGATTTAAATATGCTATACTGCTGGCTTCAAAGACAGAAAGAAGTCATGAGCTGAGAAATGCAACCCTAGAAGCTAGAAAAGGCAAAGAAACTGACTCTCTCCTAGAGCCATCTGAAGGAGTGCAACCTTAGTAACATCTTGGTTTTGGCCCAGTGAAACCAGTTTTGAACTTCTGACCACTAGAACTATAGGAGAATAAATGTATGTTATCTTAAGTCACCAAGTTTGTGGTAATTTATTACAACCACCATAGTGAACAAATACAGACCATATTCTGGGTCATAAAATAAGTCTGAATACATCTAAATGGATTCAAATGATACAAAGTATATTCTCTGATCACAAAAGAAATAACTTAAAAATCAGTAACAGAAAAAATTGTGGGAAAATCCCCAAATATTTGGAAAGTAGCCAACACACTTATAAATAACCCGTACATGAAAAAAAAGAAATCAAAAGGGAAATTAGAAAATATCTTGAACCTAATAAAAATGAAAATACAACATATCAAGGTTTGGGGGATGCAGCTAAAGCTGCGCTAGAGGTAAATTTACAGCAATACATACTCATTAGGAAAGAAGAAAGGTATCTAATTAATGGACTCGGCTTACTGCCTTAAAAAAAAAAATAGAGACCGAGCGCGATGCGCTCAGCTGATAGGGCCCAGCACTTTGGAGACCGAGACGGCGATCACAAGGTCGGGAGAAATCGAGACACCTGACTAACACGGTGAAACCCAGTTCTACTAAAAATTACAAAACTAGCCGCGCAGTGACTGGCGCCTGTGTCCCAAGCTACTCGGGAGGCCTTGAGGGCGGAAGAATGACGTGAACCCGGGAGGCGAGATTGCATGAAGCCTGAGTCGCCAATCACTCCAGCCCTTGGGCAGCAGGCGAGACCCGAATACTACAAAAAAAAAAAAAAAAAAAAAAACTAGAAAAAAAGAAATGAAACCCAAATAACCATGAGAAAGAATAACAATAAAGTTAAAGAATTCAATAAATAAAAAGCATATAATTAGAAAAGATCATTAAGTCAAAAAGGTGTTCCTTTAAAGTGATAAGCTAGAAAACCAGACTGGATATAGAAAAAAAGAATAAAGAAACAAATTATTAATGCAAAATGAGAGGAAAAATGTTATTACCCACACAATGACATATTTGTTTGTACTCAATATTCCCAATTTATAAGAAACATTTTTAATGGAAAGAGTTTCTAAAATCAGAAAGCTTTACTGATGAGCTCTTAAAAGGAAAAAAAAAATCCACATGAGATTAAAAATTCATAATTAAAAATGGGATATACTTGTATAAGCAATTTACCTTGAAGTTGTATTTCAATTTATATATTTATTTATACAATTACTGAGGAAAGGTGAAGATGAATGGTAGATGAAAGCCAGACATTAAATTGTTTTGAATTCTCACATAGTGAGCGAGAGAGGAGGAGAGGCAGCAAGATCTCAAAGTCATATCACCTGAATCAGATGGGCAAAAATGAGTCCCTTGAAGATGAAGTACAAAAAGACTATTGAAAAGTATTTTGCACATTAAATACTAAGCCATAGGATATAAACATCTTATTCTCAGAAAGAGATTTCTGGATATACTTCTTAAGGTCAGGGGATGAAGCCAGAAGTCTACTATAATGTATAACCCTACAGCACTGAAATCTATTTTTTCTGTATATTAATCACATAGTCATGCAATACTAAAGTATAGTTATAGATTCTAATAAACAGTACATAAATTTGGTGACACTAAGACTCTTTTAAGAACTCAAACCTCTTCACAAAGATGGTAAACAATTTTGGACTTACAGTATCTTACAAGTTCAACTGAAAATATGCTGAGAAAGTGGCACAGTTGGAGGCAGTTCTGTTTGGTGGCAGTCTACAATTTTGAAATTTTGAATGTATGTGGGATGAAATGAAGAGGAACATAGTAGGTATTCCTTCCCAAAGAAAATTATGTCTTTAAGAAAACATAATGCAATATAAATATGAATGTAGACTAAGACAATAAAATCACTCTTTACTCACAGATGAGTAACTAAATTGCTGAATGGTAAGAAGCCTTCCATTAAATGTGGATACATGACTTCAGAGTTCACTGGCATCTAAATGCAATAAACCACAAAATCAACCGTACACATTGATTAGACAAAATGAGAAAAATCTTCAGCTAAGATCAAAATATATTAACTTATTATCATTAAAGACCTTAATACATATTCTAGTATAAATACAGAGTTTTCATTATTATTAATGCTAGGTTCATAGTAGGTGCTTAATAAAGATTTTTAAATGAATTTTTAAAATGGAATAAGGTTAGCATTTACTAAATATCAGGTACTATGCAAATACTTAATTTGCTAAAAGCTCAGTTGCCTCATTTCAATTGTTTCAATCTTACTGCATATCTTCTGCTCTAATTTGGGAGTTTTTCCTGAGAAGAGAACAATATGAAGACATAGCTATTGTTTATTATAGTCTCTGAAGACAAATCTATAAATTTGTAACAACTGCATAGCATCAATAATCTGTGTCATTTAAGTCTTCTACTATGGTTTTCATCTTACTAAAGCTATGGATATAAACCATTATTATGCATAAGATCCCAATGTAACTGACACTAATTTTCTATGTCTTTTAATTTGTTAAAAATAAAGTCAATAACTTCCCATCATAAAAGCCAGTATGCATTGTAAGCAGAACTGCAGCAAAACAAAAAAACAAAAAAACAAACGAACAAAAAAAAGAAACCCCATAATTTTGCCTCATCTTAAACTCACCATGTAAAAATGCTCCAGTCGAATTCCATATACTATTTGTAAGGCTCTCATGTAGATCATGTGCAAGACTTCAGGCTACAGCAAAAACAACTTTGAATATTCTGATGCATAACTCTAAAGTTTATCATAATGATGATAAACTCATACTATCATCATTACCATACAATATTATAGTCAGTGAAAGCAAAGAAGAAAAAGGCAACAAAATTACTCCATTTCCCTTGAAATACTCCTTAATTTTTCCAAATTTAACACAAGATGCTTAGTTTGCTCATACATAAGTGGTCAAGGGATCAGCTGTTTAAGAACGAGAGAGCAGGTATATCCAAATCCAATCCAAGCAACCCAATCCACCTTAGGAAATGGAAGAAGAAGAGTTAGTCTTTCAGAACAGGCTGTCAGGCATGTGGCAGAAATAATGGCACATTGAAAGTGTGTGTGTGTGTGTGTGTGTGTGTGTGTGTGTGTTTTAAAGAACACAGGAAACCTTGTTTGCTGCCCAGATATTAAGGTTTCCTTAGATGTGAAGTTTAAGGGAACCCTTGATCAGGAGGTATAAATGTAATAGGGTTATATATGATTTTAAAAATTGGATCTTCTAAAACAGCAGTTCCTAAATGCAGGCGTGTGAATCTGTTCTGATCCATGTAGTAATACAACTGTATTGGGTGAGCAGAAAGACGAGAAATATAGGGAAAACGTGGTAATCTTTTAAGAAAGCTGAATTTACTCAGTTTGAAGACATCAGTTATCCTAAAAGTATTTCTTCCATTTTCAAGAATCAAAGGGGGTAGCGATGTCAGAAAGTTTGCATTAAACCAGGTTTTACTATGTTATCACTTCAAGTCCAACACAAGAAACTGGAAGGAGACTTTGGGATTTTCTGTGACACATAAATAGTTCATTTTGTATTTAATAACTAAAGATAGAAAAAACAGTACCTGTCAAAACAAGTCAATTCCCCCTGGGGCATAATGCATGAAAATTAATCTGTAAGCTTCCAAAGAGGATTATTTCTAAGCATTTTTTGGTGGTTGAAAACCACTTGGAATAAGTTCCTTCAACCCCTACCAATAAATGATACTCTCAGACTAACATTCCAATAATAATAAAAAATTGAATATATTTTAATATGTTTTAGAAGCTGGTTTTTTTTTTTTTTTAAAGAAAACGACTATATTAAGGAGTTGAATCCTAATGGGAATGTAGAAGTCACCACACATATAAACTTGGTGTTATTTTTAAATTACGCTAGGTGAGAGATTCTATCTCGATGAAAATGGTCTCCATCAGATAGGAGGGCATATCCCTTTCTTGCCACACTACAGACCTAGTAGCTTACTTTTTTCTTAAATACCATTATCCACATGCAAACATAACCACCTTTTACCTTTGGATTTGGATAAAGATCATTCTTGGTGAGGTTTTTACCATCAGCTCCTGTTAAGATCTTATTGCGAATATGAATCACAATCTCAGCTACATTGTATCTGGGGAAAGACAAAGTTTCCATCTTGGAAGTTTCCTGTTAATCTGAAGGAAGAAAAAAATATTAGAAATATCACATAATCAGTAGCTCTCATTATCTGGAAACTAATAAATATAAGGACAAAATGAACGAGCCAAAGTTGAACTATTCATAGTAGTGTTAACTATCACCAAATATCTTAGTAAAATAAAGACAAGTATTTATATATGTATCCTAAAATTACTTTTATTCTAAGGTGACACAGTTATTTTCTACTAATTTTCCTAGTGTTGTTCTCTTTTGTAGGAAGAGAAAAACACATTTGGGAAGGAGGACTTTGGTTGAATACATAGATGGGAACCATGTGCTTTTCTTTTACATATGAGGGCCAAGGAGCTTAACAAGACCAATCCTGGCCGGGCGCGGTGGCTCAAGCCTGAATCCCAGCACTTTGGGAGGCCGAGACGGGCGGATCACGAGGTCAGGAGATCGAGACCATCCTGGCTAACACGGTGAAACCCCGTCTCTACTAAAAAATACAAAAAACTAGACGGGCGAAGTGGCGGGCGCCTGTAGTCCCGGCTACTCGGGAGGCTGAGGCAGGAGAATGGCGTGAACCCGGGAGGCGGAGCTTGCAGTGAGCTGAGATCCGGCCACTGCACTCCAGCCCGGGCGGCAGAGCGAGACTCCGTCTCAAAAAAAAAAAAAAAAAAAAAAAAAAAAAAAAAAAAAAAAAAAAAAAACACAAGACCAATCCTAATAATTAATTCTCAAAGCAAGGCATATAGGCAACATTATCAGCAGAAGCTATATATAAACAACAGTAATATAGGGCATAAAAAATTGTATTCAGTTTTGACATCCTATTCAATACATATATAGTGAGATGGCTAATCAGGTTGTAGATGCAAACAGAAGAGAGAAAAACAACTGAATAAGAATAGATTACATAATTGGTAGCAATTCCTATCACCAGAGTGAGAACTTCAAGAAAACGAAAAACCGTATCTCCTAATGTCTTCACGTAGTGAGTTATTCCTATCTGTGTCCCCCTAGAGTAGTAGTTCTCTAACTTTATCCTCAAGGGCACATCTGGCAACGGCTAGAGACATTTTTGGTTGTCAGCACAGGAGTGTGGGTGCCACTAGAATCTAGTGGGTAAAGACCAGGGATGCTGCCAAACGTCCTGTGATGTATAGGGTGGCCCCCCACAGCAAAGAATTATCCAGTTCAAAAGGTCAATAAATGCTGATGTTAAAAAACCTTGTACCTGTAATCTCAGCACTTTGAGGGGGACCAAAGCAGGTGGATCGCTTGAGCCCAGGAGTTTAAGACCAGCCTGGGCAACATGATGAAACCCTATCTCTACAAAAAACCTAAAAATTAGTCAGGCATGGTGGCCTATGCCTATAGTCCCAGCTACTTGGGAGGCTGAGGTGGGAGGACCACTTGACATGGGGAAGTAGAGGCTGCTGTGAGCTGTGATCACACCACTGCCCCCCTAGCCTGGGTGGCAGAGAAAAATCTTGTTCTTTTTTTTTTTTTTTTTTTTAAAGAAAACGACTATATTATTTCCTCCCTCCCCTCCCTCCCGCCTCCCGCCCTTCCCCTCCCCCTCCCTCCCCCTTTCGCCCCCGGGCCCTCTCCCCTTCTCTCCTCG